TGGCTGGCTGGCTTCCCGGCCTCCGGCCCCCCGCTCCCTCCCTCCCTCCCTTCCTCGTCGCCGCCTTCCCAGCGGCTGCTCGGCCGCTCCGCCCCGGGGGTGGTGGTGGCGGCGTCCCCGTCTCCCCCCCTCCCCGCCCCGGACGGGCCGCGGCTCACTCGTCGCCCGTGGAGGGGGGGAAGTCGGGAGGGACCATGAGCGCCCTCCGGGACGTCTCCTTGCAGGACCCGCGCCTCCGCTACGAGCTGCTCCAGCGCATCGGCTCCGGCACCTATGGCGACGTTTACAAGGTGCGCGCCGCCGCCCGTGCGCCTGGGACGCTGGGGAGGGAAGGAGGGAAGGAGGGAGGGATCGGGCCCCCGCGCCCAAGGGGAGGGCTTGGCTCCTGTGGGGGGCGCCCCTCCCGGGACGCCTGGGTCCCTCTCCCGGGGGTGGAGAGAAGGGGCGCACGCTTGGGAGGGAGACTTACTCTTCTTTCTCTCTCCGCCTCTTGGTGGTGGCTCCTTGGGGGGCGAATGGAGAGCGCTGGCATCATCCCCCTTGGCAGGATCCTGGACTTCGGACCCCCCAACTGTCAGGCTGCTCTCAGCGGGGAGGGTGACCCCGCTTGCCAAGGGTAGGGCCCGGAGAGAGTGGGGTGCAATGGGTAGAGAGTGGGATCAGGGCTCCTGGCTTGGCTGTTCGGTTTCCTTGATCGTCAGGCATCCCTGGGAGGGTTGGCATTGCTCAGGGATGACTCAAGGGCCCGTGTGGACGTGGACGGGCTTCGGCTGGGGTTGGTCCTGCGGGTGCCTTGGCAGCTTTCGTCTCCGCGGCCTCGGTTCCTTTTTAAAAAAATCTCTCCAAGTGTGCCAGAGAGGCCGGCCAGGTTGGCACAGGCTATGGCGATGTTCTTAAAAAATTACAGCTCTTGGCTGCTGGACTTTGGAAAGTGGAGCTGCTGGGAAAGGAGGGTGAAGTGAGCCAAAGATGAGTGAAGTGCGGGACTGGAACTCGTGGCCTTCCCAGGGCCCAGGCTTTTGGGAAGAGAGGAGAAGAAGGGGGGTGTTCTGTTTGGAGGGAGCAACCGTCTCCAACCAGACACGTTCCACTCCCCCAGTGCCACAACCAGCACACTGGAAGATTTTTTGTGGAGTGGCGGTGATGGGGTGCCAGCCAGAGGAGGTGGATCGCGGCTACAGTGATCCGGCAGAACCCATCCAGTGTTGCATCCGGCTCTTGTGCCGACCGAGTCTGACAGGATGGCCTCTCCTTTAACCGCTCAAGTGGAAACCACCGGTCCCCCGTCAGCCTTGGCGATCAAGCGTGGAAAAAATGCCCATTAGCCTCTCGGAAGGTTCATCAACGCAATCCGGCTTGGGGTCTAGGTTTCCCGACGGGCAGACCTATTTCCAAGCGTGCGTTTAGGCGCCGGATAAATCTGAAATGAAAATAAAATGGGACAGAAGCGTCTGCCACCATTTGGGAGTCAGAAGTAGAGCCACTCCGGTGTTGAACTCCTCGGGGGAATCTTGAGCCAGTTTCTCCCTGATTTTTCCCTTTCTCTGAGCCTGGCCTACCTCGCAGGGTTGTCGATTAGGGAGGAAGAGAGCGATAGAGGTTGGTTTGAGGAAAGGTGGGGGAAGAAATGTGGGTCGCAACAGGAAAATGATAAGGCGGCACCATACATAATGGCAGCAGATGGTTTCACAATAAGGAAGGGCAAGTTCTTGGGGGGGGGGCTAATAATGCCTTTCTGGTACCAGAGGCAGCCTCCCTTTGATGCCAATGGGTTGGACAGCACAAGAAGAGTGAGGTTGCGTCCCATATTAGCTTCCGGACTTCCTATGGGTGTATCTCCTTGGCTGAACCAGAGAGGCCTTGCGTTCCACCGGAGAGGGCTTTCCCCACGCCATCTAACCCTCCTGTAAAGCGCATTTTCTGGATCGTAAAAACATATAGTTAGGCTTGTGTTTGGCTTTATTAGGCCTTCATAATGATGGGGGGGGGGGTTTGAAACCTGGTTTGGCCGGCTTTTGTTATTTCATGCTGATCGTAAACCACCTGGAGTGCAAAAAAAGAGAGGTGTAAATATAAACGACAAGCATTCCAACGATTGGATTCTTGCTTATTAGAAATGCTACCTTTTCCCACAAGAAAGGATGGGATACGGGGTCTCCCTCCCATGTGATCTTCTTGATAACCATGAGACGTTTCGGAATGAGCCGGGAAAAGGGCTAGAAACCGAGGCGGGTAGGTAGGTAGGTCATTTAGAGCAGTGGTCCCCAACCTTGGGCCTCCAGATGTTTTTGGACTACAACTCCCAGAAGCCTTCCCCACCACCTCTGCTGGCCAGGATTTCTGGGAGTTGAAGTCCAAGAACATCTGGAGGCCCCAAGGTTGGGGGGACCCCCTGCTTTAGAGGAAGGGGAGCAGGAGAAAACCTCATTTACTTGAAGGCCTCCATGTATTTCCCTAATCCAGATTCTATCTCTTAGAATCTGGATTAGAAAATTGATTCTATGGCCCATCATGCTGTTAAGTCGCAGCCTGTGGCACATGTTACTGGTTTACATGCGTAGGCATCTTGTGTTGAAAACCACGTTTTGTGGATGTGAGATTGCAGCCGGCTTGTTTACTCTAAGCTGCCCTACGCAGCGATTTAAAATTGACCTCTCTTTCAGCCTCACCGAGACAGTTACACAAGTTACTAGTCCTCAAACCTTTTGACTCATCATCTTCTCATTAAGAAGAAAGGGCAGTGGTTGTAAAACAGCCCTGCGTAGCCTCTTTCTTAGACTTTTGGCCTCTGATTTGTTGTTAAACGAGTTTGGTCTTGCCTGTGTTTTTCCCTGTTGTGCTTTGATGTTTTTGTTCTTATTTTAATTTTTTTTGGTCTTTTATTTGTGTTTTGTCCTTGCTAGCCACCTCAAGCTTCATGTTTTAGTGGAAAGGCACAGGAGAAGTGATATAACTAAATAAAAACAATGCTGCTGTGATCTATATAGTGCCTCTTGCTGATGTTCTTAACCCTTGACTGTTTTAACTATTGTGGGTTGCAACGCTGCTTTTTAAGGCTATGATTGTATTTGGTGTCACCCTGATTTTATATTAGCTGCCTTGTGTGTGTTTGCAAAATAATAGCAGGATAATAAATAATAAAGATGTTTCTCTTTGTTTTTCCAGCTTATGGTGCAACATTGATAAATAATGTGGGGTTTGCTCTTGGATTGGAATGGTCAGTTTCACATTATTTTGCATTCACCAGAATCATAGAATCACGGAGTTGGAAGGGGCCTATAAGGCCGTTGAGTCTAATACCCTGCTCAGTGCAGGAATCCAAATCAAAGCAGATCTGGCAGAGGGAGATCCCATTTTCTCTTGAACGCCTCCAGCGTTGGAGCCCTCACCACCTCCCGAAGTCACTGGTTCCATTGTTGTACCGCTCTAACAGTTAGGAAGTTTTTCCTGGTGTTTGTCCAAACCCTGACTTCCTTGTACCTTGAGGGCGCCCTGCACTCTGGGATGATTGAGAACAGATCCTGCCCCTTCTCTTTATTGAACCTAAAATAGCGTTTGCCTTTTTTGAAGACGCATCACACCGATGGCTCATATTCAGCTTATGATCAATAACAATTCTGAGCCAAGTATTTTGTACATTTTTTTAACTGTGTGGTGGTTTGTTTTTCTCCCCTAAGTGTAGAACTTTGCTCTTATCCCTCTCGAATTTCATTCTGTTGTTTTCGGCCCAGTGTTTGAGCCTATCAAGATCTCTTTGAATTTTGTTTCTGTCTTCCAAAGCATTGACTGTTCCACCCAATTTTGTGTCATCCTCAAAATTTGGGAAGCATTCTCTCTACCCTCTCATCTAACTCAGGAATAAAAAAAAATACTGACAGGGTTTGAGAAGGAGCCATTGATAAGCATTCTCTGAGTATGATTTTGTAACATGATGTGAAACTCAATGTGAATTAGCCTGGAGTTTTACCCCCAAATTAATGTTTTTTTCCCCTGCACTACTGGGGCTTCTACTATTTTGTAATCAAATGCATTCACATGAATTTCAGTACAGTACTATGATCATTTGAGCAGTCTTTGTAAATGTTATATC